AATCAAAATGTGAAAGACTGAATGAGTGGTGGCCCTTTTCTCCAAACAGAATAAACAAATAGGAACCAAAATTCAATCTATTGAATGTTTGATGTGAATATAAACCTAAAATAGAAAGGAGTATAGAAAAACCAAAGTAATATGTTAAAGCAGCAGAAGTATGGGTGGATTTTGTTTCTTTACCTATTTCAAGTATTTTGGAAATAATTTAAATATCTATCTATATCTCTATTAAAACCCTCGGTTCTTTTTTTTTTTTTTTTTTTTTTTGAGACAGAGTCTTGCTCTGTTGCCCGGGCTAGAGTGCCATGGCTTCAGCCTAGCTCACAGCAACCTCAAACTCCTGGGCTCAGGCAATCCTTCTGCCTCAGCCTCCCAAGTAGGTGGGACTACAAGCATGCGCCACCATGCCCGGCTAATTTTTTCTATATATTTTTAGTTAGCCAATTAATTTCTTTCTATTTTTAGTAAAGATGGGGTCTCGCTCTTGCTCAGGCTGGTTTCGAACTCCTGACCTTGAGCAATCTGCCCACCTCGGCCTCCCAGAGTGCCAGGATTACAGGAGTGAGCCACTGCACCCTCTGTTTTAACTAGACTGTTGACCATGGACAGTCCTGACCCATTCTATTATGTGATCATCCAAGTTCCAGGGCTCATATTAATTGTCCCATTAATCCTAGATCTAATTCCCCATCTCAGATTCATTAACTATATTTTAATGCAAGTGAACTGATCATAACAGTGCTGAATAAATAGCAAGTAGTATGTAAATATTAGCACCAAAGATGCCACATTGTACAAAACCAGGAAGTACCGTCCATATAAACATATACTAAAAATTGTCCCCTGAAGTTCTGCAACATGGTAGCCCCATATCCACTGTCTGTGATCAGTCAGTATTTACTTTCTTCCAGTGCCTACATCCAATTTAACATATTGACTGCCACACTAGAAAAAAAGGTTTTTCCCTGGGGCCCACAGTGTTTTATTAAAACAAAACGATCCTTTCTAATTTGTTATTTTTTATTGTTTTCTGTGCATGAGTTATATACAACGCAATCCATGTTTTTTAGAAAATTGTCAATACTAATTTTAACAATAAGAACATCAAGAGGATTTTCATAAACCAACTACAAGGTTTTGCTTAACATGGCCCTGAGCTCAAAACTAGCCTGAGTTAAATACAACTCACATGGCAGTCAATGTGTTAAATCATCCTAGCCTATAAGCCTTTTTAATTCATATATTTTTATCTGTCTCGGTTTTTGCCTAGATACACTCAAAACTTGCTGTCAATAATTCTCTCATCCTTTTGTTATCAGATTTCTATTGGATTTTCAACTTTCCTTTGTTTACCCTTCCTGCGTATAAAGCAACTTCTTAAAACCTATGAATTCCCAAATTTAATTAATTTATATATAAAATAAATATTATAGGTACCACATTTATAATTTATTTTTAAATAATTTAAATGAAAAATAATTCTCTTTAGAATACTTTTTAATGATTCACCCTTAGATGAAAACCTTAGAGGACTGAGTTTCTAAATTTCTAGAGGAACTGGTTAGAGGGTAGCACAGTAAAAAAGTAATTTTTCTACCTAATAACATGTATTCTCCACATTTAACATATTTTTCTTATCATTGTGAGAGAATAAGTGAAATTTTATAACTGCAGTTGTGAATGTTTTGGGCCATTGCTTGCCACCAATAATGTCAAGAAGGACTGTAAAAAAGAAAGAGAGGAAAATGCTAACTCAAAAATGTGTCTGCAATACCAATTCTAAATATAATATTTTTCAAAGTTTATAGGCAAGGAAAAAAGTCTTTAAATAACCATGAAAGCCACACAAAAATGCTTAAGATTTTAAAACTGACTTAAGATTCAAACTATAAAATGTCATAAAATTTATATTTTAGAATCAATAGGATGTTTCCAATTTTTCCTGGTCTGATGTTTCACCTTTTCAATTCAGTATCTTAGAGTACTCAGTACTCAAGTGAATAGCACTATTGAATTGTAGTTGACTGACAATACCGAAGCTTAATAAATATCATGTGATATTTACTCTCCTAGAGTTTTTTGGGAAGACATTTGCTCTTCTTTTTAAAGAAAATAATAATCCCTAAACTTTCCAAGAAATTGCCTCTATCATCTATTGTGGATATCTTGCTTCTATTTCACTATTACTTTATTGTTTTGTTTTGTTTTGTTTTGTTTTGTTTTGTTTTGTTTTTTGAGACAGAGTCTCACTTGTTGCCCAGGCTAGAGTGAGTGCCGTGGCGTCAGCCTAGCTCACAGCAACCTCAAACTCCTGGGCTCAAGCAATCCTTCTGCCTCAGCCTCCCAAGTAGCTGGGACTACAGGCATGCGCCACCATGCCCAGCTAATTTTTATATATATATATTAGTTGGCCAATTAATTTCTTTCTATTTATAGTAGAGACGTGGTCTTGCTCTTGCTCAGGCTGGTTTCGAACTCCTGACCTCGAGCAATCCGCCCGCCTCAGCCTCCCAGAGTGCTAGGATTACAGGCGTGAGCCACCGCGCCCGGCTTTCACTATTATTTTAAATTCTCAGTTTCATCCTCATCTTATGTCTGCTTCAATAATTGGTATAGTGATTTAATATTTTCAAATTGTTTTATCATTATCTGTCCTTCCTCTTGTTTCCTGATTTTAGAAAATCCTTTATAGTTTTTTCATGGTTACATAGGAATACATAGTCAAAAAGACTTAGATGTCAAATTCAAGCTCCTGAAGCTGATAAAACATGAAAATGAAAGTTCTTCCTAGCAGAAAGAAATTAGACAAAAAGAAAAAAAAGCTGAATTAGTGTGATTCGATCAGAAATAAAGGGCTTTCTGGTATTGATTACTTAGATAGATTATACAGAGAAGTCATTTTTGCTGTTTTTTCTTTAATTCTTCTATAAACAAGGTGGAATTAACATATGTATATTTAGATATATTTGTCCTCAGACAATGTTAAATCCTAAGGTTAAAAGAACACAAAAGCAACCTAAATTTTTAATCCTCTAAAGTTGTCTTCTCACTAATATAGACTTAATAAGGTTGGTTTAATGTAAAAGCAGAAAAATGGATAACTCAGGGAAATTTTTCTGGATATACTTATAGCCAAAAACAGAGAGTACAGAAGAATCTCTTACTAGATGTATACAGTGCACACTAGGACCATATGACAAATCTAATATTTAACCTCTTCTGTTAGCTTCTTTCATTTACAATTGCCCAATGCCATTGCTTTAACTGTTCTGGCTTTATATCATAAAAGGATCTTATCATTCACTCATTCAGCAAATGATGACTCTTAAGATTGCCTGCTGGTGGTTAATACATTGACAAAGGAGATTCAAAGTGTCAAATCTTATGAAGAAGAGAGAAAAGAAAACTTCACCATGAAAAAGGCACATCGAGATTTTTAAAAATTCACTTCTGAAATGTTAATGGTAAAATCCAGTATCTCAATATTGATGTCGAAAAGGAGGATCCTCATATCATAATTCTAAAAGAACACCCATCTTAGAATCTTGTCCTTTTTGACTTTCCTTTATTTCAGGCTGAAAGAGATCATCCATAAGCTTTATTGACTGAGTTTACTAGCTGTCAGAACTTGAAATAAAATCTGTGTTCAAAAAAAAGTCTGAAACCAGGATACACAGTAACTTTATTCTAAATCTAGTAAGATAGTTTAGTTGCTGCCTTCCCAATAAAAGATTAGCATAACTTTTGGCTGGTTTTCAGCTGAAGTTGAATTAGTAGGCTCAAGACAAATTCATCAACCTCTCTCAATTTTCATATATGCATTCATTCACTCAAATATATTACTGAATACTTTTAATGTGCATATTATGCTAACAATTTCTGATTCTAAACATTTATTCCCAGTCATGAGGATAATTGTATTATGTGTATGGATTGTACAATCTATTGAGTGTTTTCAATACAATTCAATGTAAAGAAGTTTTTACCTACGCTCACATTAACTTTGCGTAGGTATAATTTTGTCTCATTTCAAAATTCTACTTAAAAATGATCCTTAGTAATAGGGTATTGGGCAGGTGGGAGGGGGGAGGGGGGCGGGTATATACATACATAATGAGTGAGATGTGCACCATCTGGGGGATGGTCATGATGGAGACTCAGACTTTTGGGGGGAGGGGGAGAAATGGGCATTTATTGAAACCTTAAAATCTGTACCCCCAGAATATGCCAAAAGAAAAAAAAAAAAAAGAAAAAAAAATGATCCTTAAATAAGCTGAGAAAATAAAAATGCTATCTATAGCTCTAAGCTTTTATACAGTTCTTGTGAGAACATTTATAATCAGTTGTGATCCATTTGAAAGTATGTATGCTCTCATTTGATGTGTTTATTATAGAATCCCGTGAATACTGGGATTTGTGTAGGAACAGTAAATACCAAAAGCTTAGGGGTCCTCAAACTTTTCAAACACGGGGCCAGTTCACTGTCCCTCAGACTGTTGGAGAGTGCGGCTCACATTCCACACATGCACACTGTGGGCCTGGGACGAGTTGGCTGCTAAGCAGGACAGACAGCGGTGGCAAAAACACCCAGCGGGCCACATGTGGCCCACAGGCTGTAGTTTGAGGAACCCTGGCAGAGGGTGCAGTGTAAAAACTGGCATACTACTGATCCTATACTGCTTTGACATTCCAGGAAAATTAGTATTGGACTGAATTTGTTCAGATTTTATCTAGGGTAAAGTAAAATTTTAGATTTTAGACTATTTATTACAATTCAATAAACCATCCTCACTGGGAATGTCAAACCTGATTTTTTTCCTGATCAGGCATACTAAAGCAATCTGCCCACCCTCTATTTCAGCTTTACATGTAACTCTAAACAAATAGGCTTTCTGATGGAAGAGATCAATGACTTTAGATGATATGCCATTTTATATCTTTATAAGTGACCTTTCTAAACTGAAACATGGAACTCCATAAAAAAGTTAATATTTTTCTTTCACAGCAATATTATATGCCTTTATTATAAATAAACAGAATTCACTTGGGACAAATTTTTCAAATGAAAGGATTAAAATAATCTCACCATTAAACCAAAACAAAAAGCATTTTATCTTCTCACATCTTTATTAAAGTATTTATTTTATATCCTGGCTCTTGTACTTTTATATCACAAATTTGCCTTTAAGGAACACATAATACACTTAAGGCAGATTTACCTTACAGATGGTGTCAGCTTTTAAACACTACTACGCTGCTTTATATAAATAGCAAAAAATCACATAGAGAAACATCTACTGATGTCTTTCTTGGTACTTTAGATTTTAAAACTGCATAATACATTGAGTTCCCATAAAATTTCACTTTTGAGATAGGAAACAAACACTACTACTATTTTATAATTGCCTTTATCTGATTTGATTGGATGCAGTTAGTATTAATAACATAACCTTTAAATTTATGGGGAAAACCAATACTTTATATTCACTCCTCATAGAAGGCTCAACAGCAAGCATAATGAGGAGCCATTATAAAATCATATTGCTAAGTATTACCTTAACTTATAATTCTGCTAATATAACTGTATGCATATCACAGCTAACAACTACTGCTTAATTATCAAGAGACATCCAAAAGCATCCTTCAGTTACGTTATTAGCAAGCTAGGCAACACTAAAGATTCAGTCTCTGGTCTTCTGGTTATCAATACAAACTGAAATTTTAGAAACTATTTGATGATCCTGGTCTTTAGGGGTGGTAGGGACCTATATCACAAAACCTCCAGGAGACCAATGGGCTCAGGTGAAAGACTTTGAAAATAAAAGGCGTACAGTTAAGGTAGAGTTATCATTAGCAAATCTTAGAGAAGAATGCAATCAGAATCACTCAATATTTATTAGAAAGCAAGATTCATTAAATCATTTCTCTTTTAGAAAAATATTTTAAACTTGTATATTTTTAAATGTTCTTTTTTAAAAGAACATGTAAAATTGAAGAACATGTAAAATATTTGTGAGAATAACCAGTTTCAAATATATTTGTTTCTCATTTCTCTTCATTTTTCCCCTTTCAAAGGAGTTCTTCTCATCAACACAAAGGTGCTAATCTTTAAAGCAATACAAATTCTTCTGTGCTAAATCTTTTTAATCTTTTCTTTTCATCCTCTGAGAAAAGGTCTTCTTCATTGGTTGTAGTAGATGTAAAATCATAGTCTCTGGAATGACCATTTACAAAAGTAAATAAGGGATATTTCTCCTTAGAAGAAATTTTCAGCATCTGTAACAGAAAGTACAGAAGAATCTCTTACTAGATGCATATAGTGCACACTAGGACTATATGACAAATCTAATGTTTAACCTCTTTTATTAGCTTCTTTCATTTACATTCACCCAATGCCATTGCTTTAACTGTTCTGACTTAAAGACAAAACTGATTAGTATTGAATAGTTTATTTATAGGTAAATACATGCTTCTCCATTAAGAGTAGCTCATCAAAAATTAAGTATATGCTCACTCTCACCCCCTAATTGCCCCAAAGTAAGTCTTCAGGTCACTTTAGTTTGAAGGCATATTAAAGAATTAAACTGTGATTTATATTCTTTTGGGAGTAATACAATGAAACAAAATGGTATCACTGACTAAGGTAAAATATTGTGGAAGACTATTTGGTAGCCTAACACAGAAAAAAAAAAAAAAGCATTAAACTGGAGTCAGAAGGTCCATTTTCATCTCAGTTCTTACCTTGATGAGACCTTAGACAAATCACTCTACCTAAGTAGTATCTATAAAACAGGGCAAAAGATCCAGTTTCCCTACCTCAAAGAATTGTTAAGAAGATCAAAAGGTAAAAATATTAAGTTTTATTTTTTCAAAGATTCCTATATTTAAAAAAATATTTTGAGTAAATATTTCTATACTTATCTAATAAACATAAAAAATAGTGTTCTCATATATAGTAATAATCCATACTTCACATAATACCTTCTAAAGCTGTATTGCATACCAAAAAAGCAATACCTAGAATTTTGTGGGGATACCCACAACTTTTACACCCTGTCAATTTGGGACTGACAAGCATTCTATAAACAGTTTTAAATTTTTCTGTTAAACAAGTTCTATTCAAAAATTCTAATAACTTTAATTAAAAAAATGAATAAAAAATTTTAAATGAAAGCTGTTTTGACAGAAAACATTTTTGTTTTGACAGAAAAATTTTTCTATTGATAATTAGGACCATATAAGAAGGATTCTGAAAAATTACTATGTAATTTACAGAGAATGCTAAAAAAGATCAATAGTACTTATATACATCATTAATCATGATCAATTAAATATAATGTTTTTAAAAGATAATTTCAGCAGTAAAACTAAATTCTCCAAAATGTCAACATTCAACTGGATCATCAAAACCTTATATATTTATAGATTCTCTGAAAGCATGGCTATAATAAATATGTAGGCCTAGCATATAAATACAATGTTAATTAAAAATATTTCAATGAAATAGTTAATATGTAATATATTTTTAACTGGATGGAAAAGAACCATTTAAGAACATTCAAGTACTAAAAAAAACTGGATGTGGTAAAAATCAGATCCTATAATTCACATTGTAGTTCTAATTTATATACTGGTCGAATTTATTTTTGTTCCTCAAAAAAGGGAGAGAAGAGGGCAAAAATGTGGAAAATGAAAAACAAGAGGCAGAGAGGGTTGGTATCCGATGAATCATCTCTCGCTTCCAGCCAAAATAATCCAAAATGGTTGTCATTTTATATTCATTTGACATCACTTATAAAAGTTCAGTATCTAATGGGCAAGTATCCACATTATATCATTTTCAGACCAACAAAGTAGAACTAACATTGTCATCTCTTCATCCCTTCTTTTAAGAGCAAGAAAGAAGTCATTTGAGTTTATTACTATAGGACTAAGTTGCTTATCAAGGTTAAGATTCAAATCTGTGCCTAGGGAAAAAAATGTTAGAAAGGAACTTCTACCTACCCTTTAATTATAAAAAATGCACCTACTTTTTGCAAACTCTCTTGCAATGTAAGGCCTCTTAACAGTTATTGATTCAGGCTTTAAGAATTATCATTGTTATAACATTTCTGAGTTTGTTTAAAATATTTTTAATGACCATCAAATTGAAAATATACTAAAAGTTTACCCAAATGAGTTGAAAACTTATGTCCACACAAAAACCTACACATAGTTGCTTATAGCAGCTTTATTCATAACTACCAAAACTTGGAAGCAACCAAGATATTCTTTAGTAGGTGAATGGATAAACTGTGATACATCCAGACAATGGAATATTATTCTGTGATAAAAATAAACAAACTATGGAGACAACAAAAGATAGGAAGGAACCTTAAATCCATATTAAGTGAAAGCAGTCAATCTGAAAAGACTACATACTGTATGATTCTAACTATATGACATTGTAGAGAAGGTAAAACTATGAAAAGAGTAAAAAGATCAGTGGCTAACAGGGAATGAGGAATGAATAGGCAGAGCGGAGAGAATTTTTATGGCAGTTAAACTATTTCTGTATGATATTATAATGGTAGATGCATGTCATTATATATTTGTCAAAACCCAAAGAATACATAACACATAGAGTGAACCTTAATGTAAACTATGAACTGTGGGTAATAAAGATGTATCAAGGTAGGTTCATCAATTGTAACAAATGTACCACTCTGGTATGGGATACTGATAGTCAGGTACAGGATATATGACAACTTTCTCAGTGCTTTCCACTCAATTTTGCTATGAACCTAGAACTGCTCTAAAAAATAAAGTCAATTAAGAATACGTATTAAAGAATAGTTGAGTAGAATATCAAGGTAAGTGATAACCTATCAGCACATAAACATGATATGAAAAGAAGGAAGCAATTTTAAGACAAAAATGAAAATGCCAAAGGAAACTTTAAAAATTATCTAGTTCACTCTCACTTTCTAAATGGGAAAATTCAGACCCAAAGAATTTAAATGACTTTTCCAAGGTGGCATATAAACAGCAGCAGCAATGACAAAAAGAGATAAATTGATAAATGAATTATTGGGATATAAGGTATCAATGATTTATCAACATGCCTTTCAAAACACTTTTCAGAGCTCTGAGCACCAAATGAACATTTTTCTTAGATTTTTGTTTTTTAAGAATCAACACTGATTTGAAAATTTGATTCTGAAAACTTTTATTAAAAAGTGAAAAGTTTAGTTGTCTTTTTTATATTACAAGAATGGCTACATTGTCCAAACCTTCAAGTCCACCCCCAGTGGTTGGTATAAAATCTACATGAAAAAATTCCGAATTAGGGTAGCTATGTAACATAGAATATCACCAATGACGATACTATACAAAAGATTGTGTAAATTATTTAATAACTCAGAAAAATGTTTACTATATAATCCTAAATTTAACCTCAATTATTTTAAAATAATTTTAAAATATGTATTTTGAAAAGACTAAAAGGAAATACAACAAAATATTAACAGCTGTCTCTGAATAAAAGAATTAGCAGTGATTTTTTTCTTCTATTTCCCTAACTTACTTACTTACTTTCTTTCTTTCTCTTCTCTTTCTCTCTCTTTCTTTTTATTTTGAGACAGGGTCTTGCTCTGTCACCAGGGCTAGAGTAGAGTGGCACAATCATAGCTCACTGCAACCTCAAACTCCTGGGCTCAAGCAATCCTCCTGGCTCAGCCTCCCAAGTAGCTGGGTCTATGGGCACAAGCCACCACATCAATTTTTTTTTTTTTTTTTTTTTTTTTTTTTTTGAGACAGAGCTCACCTTTGTTGTCCAGCTAGAGTATGCCGTGGGCGTCAGCCTAGCTCACAGCAACCTCAAACTCCTGGGCTTGAGTGATCCTTCTGCCTCAGCCTCCCGAGTAGCTGGGACTACAGGCATGCGCCACCATGCCTGGCTAATTTTTTTATATATATATATCAGTTGGCCAATTAATTTCTTTCTATTTTATAGTAGAGACGGCGGGTCTCGCTCTTGCTCAGGCTGGTTCTAACTCCTGACCTTGAAGCAATCCCCGCCTCGGCCTCCCAAGAGCTGGTCTAGGCTGAGCACAGCGCCCGCCCAATTTTTTTTTTTTTTTTGTAGAGACAGGGTCTTGCTATTGCCCAGGCTGGTCTCAAATTCTTTGCCTCAAGCGATCCTCCCATCTTGGCCTCCCAAAGTGCTAGGATTACAGGGTTACTGCTATTTTCCAAGCTTTCTAACAGATAATTCTCCTATATCTGAGAGAAAACCATTTTTTAAGAAATTTAAGATAACCGAATTTATCATCTCACGTTGCCTTTTAAAGGAATGTTAGTGGTTTGCTCAACAACTTTAGAATAGCAATTCTAAACTCTATTTTAATAACATACTAAAGATACACTGAAGTTGCTTTATATCTAAAAGGCAAATCATAGATTTCTTTTCAGGAGATCAATATTTATCACACCTTTCCTATGTACTGAGTTGACAGGTTTCAGAATTTACAAAGGAAAAAGTTGAGGACAAAAGTTGAACAATTTTTTCTATAATAAAGGCTAATAGTTAGAAGTAAGAACAGAAACAGAACCAGGAGATGACCTCTTCTCCCCAAGCCAAAACCTTTTCCACTAGTCTCTGCCATCATATATGTAAAATTATACCCAATACAGAGGAGTCTATACCTATGTAGTCTATATTCACTACACTGGAGCTATATCTTATGTAGGAGTTAGGTTATAAAGTAAGCCCCTAATATAAAAATCAAATATAGTCAAAATCAACTTTTAAAAAGCCCTGAAATTGGCCGGGCTCGGTGGCTCACGCCTGTAATCCTAGCACTCTGGGAGGCCGAGGCGGGCGGATTGCTCAAGGTCAGGAGTTCGAAACCAGCCAGAGCAAGGGCGAGACCCCGTCTCTACTATAAATAGAAAGAAATTAATTGGCCAACTAATATATATGAAAAAATTACCGGGCATGGTGGCGCATGCCTGTAGTCCCAGTACTCGGAGGCTGAGGCAGGAGGATTGCTTGAGCCCAGGAGTTTGAGGTTGCTGTGAGCTAGGCTGCCGCCACGGCACTCACTCTAACCTGGGCAACAAAGTGAGACTCTGTCTCAAAAAAAAAAAAAAAAAAAGCCCTGAAATTGTTTAAAGGGTGATATGTACAATCTTGTATATACAACCTTGTTCAGTAATATGTATAATATATAATAATGTATAGTACAGTCAGGTGCTGCATAACAATGTTTCTTTCAGTCAATGTTAGACTGCAT